ACTCAGTTACTTCCTCAAACAACAGCTATCTCCAAGATGTGAATAAAATCCTGAAGAATATAGAATAAGCACCCCTTGGATACTAAATAGTTAAGTGTATTAATTTACGCAAAACCCAGTTTAAAAAGTTCACACAAAAATAACCAATTGTCTGTTTTAGCAAAAAGCTACACAATTAGTTATCTTTGGATAAAGCAAGGAATTGAACCTGCGATTTTGGTATTGACCCACTGGGAGACAAACTGCAATGTACATGTGCATGATGAATTGATACAATGTGTTTATGCATTATACATACCAAAAAGCACAGTTGCATGTAATTTTCCCTGTTTAAACATAAGCACAGTTTATGAAATATCTGCCACTCAATTTGTGAACTGAAACAGTAAAAAAAAATAATGATTTATTTTGGAATGATAGTCTTTTTTTAAAAGTAAATTCCCTTAAATTTCCACAAATCAATTTCTCACCAATTTTCAATCACGACTTTTTTTTTTAATTTGGCATGATTAAATGTATTTTGTACAATCTTCAACAGAATTTACTGGTGTAGGAAACATTGAAGATCTACCCACTGTTTTATCAAGTTACATAATGGAATGATATTTTCACTACAAAAAATATCAGTGCAATAGGTTAAATGTACTCTGTTAACCTCGAGAAATGGAACCCCAGATTTTAGCGTTGTATGTATGTAAACTTACCACTGACTCACTGAGATTTCAATTAATGAAACTTATTCAAATGTTAATCAGATACCATTGTAATACTACACTTCATTTACTTGGTAATTACTGGTTTTATTATGTTTAGTTATAAAGCATAACTGATAACAAATTACTTGATTGTCATTTTTCATTAGTCACCGTATATTTTAGTGCTATTATCAGCACAAGTAAAGATCAAAAGTGTTACCTATAAGTGATTACCAATACTTATACATGACACCTGTAACGCTAGTGGGCCGTAAAACACACCTAATTTCACAGATACAATGACATCTCGAAAATTTATAACACGATAAATATTGAAAGTTCATTTATATCTATCAAATATTTTGATACATATGCATTTAAAAACCACAGTTAAGCATAGAAATACGAGCTATTCTTATCATGTTTTGATAAATAACACTAACACATAAAATTTGCTACAAAACATGAAGATAGCAAGGTTAAAAAAAAACTAAGACTACTTTATGTGCATTTCATACGTACTCGCTACTTCAATACGTTTTGAGTGACTACAGCTAAACTCACTCAATGTTGTTGACGTGCACAGCTCATTCATGGTTAAATCTTAAAAAGTTAGAGTATTATATACGATATTTTAAGTAAAGATACATTTCACTGCCACGGGTTGTATCAGTCTTTAGTTTTTTGAGGAATTAGACGCTTAGAAATTTACGGAGAATAAGTGAATATAACCCTAGGTCGGAAAAACTTGCAAGTGTATGCATCGGAAGGAAATGAATGAACGTAACTATACAGTAATGTATGCAAAGAAAACATTACCAGTAAAAATACATTTCCGGCATCTACTACGTTCAACTGCATACATAAATGTTTGAAAATTGCTGATAATTTTGTAGCAAAACTTTACTGAAGTATTCCATATGAAAACGATTAGTACGTCATAAATGTTAAAGAAAATGAGTAAGCACGTGATTAATAAATACATATGTTAATAACAACACAGGAATTTTCCGTTGTATCAGAATTTCACTAGCCGATAGGAGTACAACGCGCACGCATTATCCTCGCAGAATAGAACTTCGAGGGTTTATGACGCATTCGATGTTGACTAGCATCCAACATTTTTAGACTTGGCACTGACGGAATAATCTCAGGTTGTGCCCCACATTCCGGATTCACAAACGTTACTGTTACGAAGTCCATCTAGTCAGCAATCCGCAGACAACAAAAATATATTGGTTTTTGTACACGTCTACTTAGTATCGCCTCAAGGCTGTGATCCATTACTGGTATCATTGATATTTACACTTAGCGAAAGATGGGTTACCTAAACAAGCCTCTTTTTTTTTTTTTTCTTAAGCTAAAAGCTTTTACCCAGTAAAAGACATATAATGATTTAATAAAATTGCAAGTTTTTCCTACTGCATTTATAACCTATTTTACGTTTAAAATTTGACAATTTTGTAGTTCTGTTTCTGCTAATTCACCACTTATTTCTGTTAATTACATGTTATTGCTCTACAAGTTACAAATTGTGAAAACGTTGTTTACTATATTTTCTGATGTCACAATTCTACCTTATATTTAAATTTAGTTTATTTGCTTACTTTTAGATTCTGCTAGGACAATGCTTACTATTATTATTTGTATAGCAGTTCCACAGGTCTTATTCTGTATATTAACCAATGATTTTCTTTTAAACTTAAAATGTTTCTCAAGATAATTATAGATGATAGTCTTCCCCCTAAACATTTTTACTTTTACAAACTGCTCTTCTTAACTTATATTTTAAATGGGCTACATTTTTATATTGAGAAAGACATGCAACATCATTAAACAATTTTTAATGATGCTGGAAATACATATTGATAGTCAAGCACTAGTATAATAATTTTGATTAGTTGCCAAAACACTCCTCCATGTACATGCAAATGATACCCAAGTTGATACATAACTAAAATTCTGTCTTTCCGATTATGTACCAATTCCAGCATTTAACTATTTTTGTGCAAATATTATTCTGACATACACAACTCTTTTAAGTTAAAAGAAAATCCATATTTTTAATGTTTAAAATTATGAAATTTTAAACACATTTTTTACCCACTTCCAGTTACTGACCATTCTCATTTTTAATGTATAATTGTTGGACTATTTCTATTGGTACTTATGTAATTGTATTTTTTTATTAATTGCTTTATCATGACACATCTATAATGTTTTAAAGCAATTAACTTAATTCATTTGTTTATTTGTTTTTCAATGTTTAAACACAATATATACCAAAGGGTGAAATCCACTTAATCAAAGACAAAATCAATTTATGGCTTGTCATAAATCTATTAAATACTAAAGAATTTAATATTTTTAGCTTCTATTAATGAGCTGTTTAATAATTAAACTAATTTCAATCAACATCAATACTTTAGCAGAATAGTTTGCTGGCAGTTTTTCAATTTAATTGTGTATGTTTTCAACAACAACAAAAATACTTTCTCCTAATATTGAATAACCTTTTAACATGATAATGTTTATAAAATGCATATAAAACAAATTAAATGCGTAGCAGAGTTGTAGCACAAGTACCTTTGCATCAAATGAATGGCTCAAAATAATTCAAGGAGATTGGTCCAGATGCTCCATTTCTAACATTACTTTTAAGCTTGGAATTTATATACGTCTTTTCTAATGTTAATAAAACATTTTTTCCACATTTTTACCTTCTTAATAAGAATGTCAAGATTCTTGTGAATTAAAAAACAAGCCCAGCAGTGTTGCCCCATTATTAAACATGGATAAATTACTTTCTAAATAAGCAGTAAAATAATTAATGAATAACTTGCCTGAAATTAACTTTTAAGCACCTAACTAATGACATTCTTCCAACTCTAATAATGCCCCTTTATCATCACCCTCTGCTTCTGCAAATGTAGCTCATTTTGTATCCATTTTTGAAATTTTTCATCAACTTAATCTAACCTAAATTTTTAAGATAAGTTTTATAAAAATTTTCAAAAAAGTCACGATAAACAATTGAGGTGCCCTCACAGACACACACACACACAAAATCTAAAATAAAATTCAATAAGGCAATGATACAAAAAGAGTTGCTTTTTAAAATCACACAGGGAGAGAACAACTTGTGAATTGTTTGATTCACAGTGTTCTTCTAGATATATTTTGATAACAGATTGTAATTCCTTGCTTATAAGTTCAACGAATGGGCCTGTAATTTTTCATATGTAGTTCTTTCTTTCAAAATATTAAAGCCACATGAGAAATACCTTTACTATCCATAAACTTCCTGGTATTAGTTTATTAATGTTTTTATAAGTGTGTTTATATGCATGTTAATACAAAACAATATAAATATATTTTTAACACTTCATGCCTCAGCCAAAGGCCTAATATCAAACAGTTACTTGTTTAACTGTATTTTATTTAAACACATCCAACAACTTTTCAGTATTTCTGTTATAATCTGTAAAGGTTTCTAACTCGTATGTTTCAAGGTTTTAGGGAAAATCTTTTTACTACATGCATTGGTCCCTAAATCATTACAAACTTTCATTTTCAGATAAATTAACAAATTTTAATAAAGTGTTTTCCTTCAACAAAAATAATACATGAAAGTTGGGATATCATCTTTCATCTAAATAGAAAAATTACCAACAAACCAAATTCAAACAAAATTACGTGTAATGCAATGTACTTTTCTTCTAATAATAACGTTCTCACAAGAATTTTTAAATGGTTACTTTTATCCCTAAGTTTAATTTTTAGAGTTCACAAAAACAAGACTATATCACAGTTAACATTTTGAGACATTTCAAGTTTCTTTTACCCATATAAAAATATTCTGGAGATTTTTTTTTATTGATGTAATAAATACCCAAATTCCATACTGATCTTTGCATATGTCATTAATAATAGCTAAATTTTTGATTACATTAATGTATGGGTTTCCAAGATAGAACACAATACTTTTTTTAAGAGGGACACAGTACTTTGTAAAATACACTTAATATCATTGACACAGACATCACACACTGACTACAAAGGTGTTTTTGAGTTGAGCTTCAATCTTGTGTAAATTATCCATAGGAAATAATTATATGTAATATGTTGTTGTAAATGAACAGTTTATGCTAGGCTTTAAATTTGTCACAAATCTATTTATAACAAATATACAAAAGTACAATATAAACTATCATAATAAAGCATCCATGCATGTACAAAATTTAATAATCAAATGGTACGCAAGTTTCCAAATATCAAAAGCTAATTATAAGTGTGTAAACATACCTGGTTGGCTTTGTTGATTTGCTTTCTCAAGCCAGCAAATGCCATGATGAATTATTTTTAAAACACAAAAATCTTACTTTACGGAATGATCTGTATTGGTCTAATAGACCTGAAACAAAATTTTAAAAATTGGCAAAAGTTAAGAAAAATTCCAAATAAAATATAAGTTACATAGATGCAACCACAGATTAATGTTAATCTTCTTTATACAATTACATTAATTGAATTTCAGAATTATTAGCATGTAAAAACATTCCCTAAAACTCTTAGATACTTTAAAAACTGCCCTTGATAAAAGTAAATAGTAAATGTTATATTATAGTTTTCAAACACCCCAGAATATTTATACAAAATCTAGCTGGTGGCATCATGCTTTTCAAATAAGTTTAGAATATATTGTATTATTTGTATTTTATTAAAAATAAATATTAAAATTAATTTGCAAATTATTTATAACTTAGCTCTCCCAAGTATATATATATATATATATATATATATATATATACACACACACACACATAATATTATTAATATTATATATATAACTACTACGTATATTATAGTTAGTTTTATACTATTAGTAATTAACTACTAACTAACGTAACTTAAAC